ATCGGGCTCCCTGCTCAGCAGGGAGTCTGCTTCTCCCTCTGACCCTCCCCCCTCATGCTCTCTCTCTATCTCATTCTCTCTCTCAAATAAATAAAATCTTTAAAAAATAAAAAAATTAAAAAAAAAGAAGATTGAGGAGTACTGTATGATTTCGTATTTACCTTTCTTCTTAAGAGAATTTGTTGTGGTATCCAAGTCTTATATTAAGCTACTTTCCGCAGGCTCTCCTTGTGGCTGTTGTTGTTGTACTTTTTAGAATATAGTAATACAGATAAAATTCCCTTGCCTCCAATGCTGAGGAACTATCTATTTGATTGAATTTTGGAGCAAATATTGCTTGACAGAAGCAAGGTGGCTCTTGGGAATTCTTGTTCGTTCAAGTGCTAAATGATGACCTGATATTTATTATATTATGACTGGCAATATTCTAAGACTTTACTCATATTTATTCTTTTCACAGGTTATAGATTATACTTGTCACGTTGGTCAAATGGCCATCATTTTGTCAAGGTAAGGTTTTTGCTTTCCTTTCTAGCAAGGCGTAAACTCTCATTATTCTGTGGTCTAGGTGAGAACAAATACGAGGACAGTGCCCTTCATTTCCATTGAGTCTATCACTCCTAGGTCCTCACAGAGCCTTACTGAGTTGGAAGCAACAAACATATGATCATTGGAACCATATTCCCAGATAGAATAGGCAAGCAGTTACAGATTGGGATTTTTAACCTTAATTCTGCCATTAACTCTATGTGACCTTCAACAAATATTTCTCTTTAAGTCTTTGGACTTCTAATTCCTTTTTATATCATAAAGAGTTATAACAGACGGCATTCAAGATTTCATCTACCTTTATAACAACGGGTGAGAGTCTTACAACTGTTTACCCCCAGAAGGATCTAGATCTCACCTAATGTAGTGGTCATATCAGAGTTTGTAACTTTTACTTCTGGATCTTTTCCTCTTACAGGGAGCTGGCTATATTTAGCTGGATAAATAATTGGTTATTTAAACGTATGCTTTGAAAAAGCTCCCAGGAAGGGGCTAATGAAAATGAAGTTATTCCTGGTGGTCATAGAAAGTTAGCACAGAACTCCTTGTTAGATTTTTTCCTTTAACTTTGACCTACACCCAAAGACTCTCTGACATTCTTTTAGGGTTCATTAATTTAGGTTTGAAATGCATTCTCCACTCCACTTACCCAACAATTGGACAAGAAGTATATGTAAGGGTTTTGAACCATTTTTCTTGAAGAAATTATATATTTGTGGAGAGTGGGGGGTGATGGAGTTGGGAGAAGAACAGAGTATTTTGTGAAGGGGAAAGACATAAAAATGTCTGAATATTAGGGTGATAAGTTTTTTTTCCCCCTCACAGCCTGATACCTCTGCTGTTGATGATACCTGTATTCTGTCTGGGCAATGTTAGTGAATGTTTCCACAACTTCAGCCAGAGCCACAGGTAAGCAAGGACCAAGTCTATCATTTCCATTTTCTTTTCTATATAAAGATATGGAAAAGACTTTCTACATACATTCTGGACAAGTTGCTTGTATTTGGAACAAGGTTCTATGGAACCTTGGTAGCATTTATAGAACAAGGTATAGTCAAGGCAAAAAATACTTAAGTAGAAATATAATGTGACGTGATTGGAAGATAATGTATCTATGAGAAGGAATAAGATGTTATGGGCAAGGGTCAGCAAAATGGTAAGAAAAATTGCATATTTAATAAATTTTGTTGTGCCAAATGGGTATCTCTCTAGTCTTGTATCTGTAGTAGTGGTCCTGTCCATTGATTCTCTTCCTAGGTGTATTCTGATGTACTCCCCACCATCAGTCGTGGCTGAACTGCCTTCTGCCAACACATCAGTCTGTAGCACACTTTATTTTTATGGGATCACCATTTTCCTGACCACCTTTCTCTTCAGCCTCCTCACCATTGTGGTATGGTGTCACCTGCTTTTATGGAAAGAGAGGGGATTGGGAGGGATGGGGCATTATTCCTAGGGACTGGGAAAATGGGATGTAGAGGTATTTCCTAAAGTCCTAGAACTAAGAAAGTAGCCAAGAGATATTGACAGTTTAATTACTACCTCAGTATTTGGACTTCCCAAGATTAAATGATTGGTGGGGAAAGAGTCTATAGTCAGTATGTGAGAATTATGCTCACTCTAGGACTAATTAATATATGTTCCTGTGGATCCTCATGGAAGACCAGACCAGAAAACTAGTATATGTCAAGTATGTCCTTTATACAGGATAACACTCCCAGAACATAGGAAATGTGCTTTGATTTAATTTGACAATTTTCCAAATAATGAAGGAATTTTCTTTTCTCAATCCTTTACTAGCTATAAATGTATTTATGCTATGTCTACCTGGGGTTAAAATGCTAAGGGGCTTAGGCATTTACTAAATACTCATTTGACATCGTCAGAATGATGTACAGTTAAAATAATTAGCCATGGAATAATATGTTATTTACACATAACTGCCTAATACAAAATCAGCACACAGTGAATATGCCTTTTTATCTGCCATGTCTACTTTTCAGTGTCATTTTCTCCTCTCTCCATATGCTGGTTCAAGGATTACAAACTGCCTGCAGAGCAAATTGATCCCACGGATATGTTTTGTTTTGCTAGCGCAGCTGGCACATGTAAACCAAATAAAATTATGGAGAATTTCCTTTAACAATTTAAAAATAAGTTATAGAGGGGCGCCTGGGTGGCTCAGTCGTTAAGCGTCTGCCTTCAGCTCAGGTCATGATCCCAGGGTCCTGGGATCGAGCCCCGCATCGGGCTCCCTGCTCAGCAGGAAGCCTGCTTCTCCCTCTCCCACTCCCCCTGCTTGTGTTCCCTCTCTTGCTGTCTCTCTCTGTCAAATAAATAAAAATTTTTTAAAAATCTTTAAAAAAACAAAAATAAGTTATAGAGATAGCTTAGCTCAAATCAGCAACTTTGTAAAGAGGGTGAAATGAATAGTTTATATTAAGATGATTTTGATGATCTACATTTAGAACTGATTGACAAGAGAGGCAGGTATCCCAGAGCCTGGCACCCCGGGGATACTTGATTGCTTCTTTATTTTTTGTTTTGTTTTGTTTTATTTTATTATGTTATGTTAATCACCATACATTACATCATTAGTTTTTGATGTAGTGTTCCATGATTCATTGTTTGCATATAACACCCAGTGCTCCATTCAGTACGTGCCCTCTTAATACCCATCAGCAGGTTAACCCATCCTCCCACCCCCCTCCCCTCTAGAACCCTCAGTTTGTTTCTCCGAGTCCATAGTCTCTCATGGTTCGTCTCTCCCTCTGATTTCCCTCCCTTCATTTTTCCCTTCCTGCTATCTTTTTTTTTTTTTTTTTTTTAACATATAAGGTATTATTTGTTTCAGAGGTACAGGTCTGTGATTCAACAGTCTTTTTTTTTTTTTTAAGATTTTATTTATTTGTGAGAGAGAGAATGAGAGACAGAGAGCATGAGAGGGAGGAGGATCAGAGGGAGAAGCAGACTCCCCGCCGAGCAGGGAGCCCGACGCGGGACTCGATCCCGGGACTCCAGGATCACGACCCGAGCCAAAGGCAGCCGCCCAACCAACTGAGCTACCCAGGCGCCCAGTGATTCAACAGTCTTAAACAATTCACAGCGCTCACCATAGCACATACCCTCCCCAATGTCTATCACCCAGCCACCCCATCTCTCCCACCCCCCACCACTCCAGCAACCCTCAGTTTGTTTCCTGAGATTAAGAATTCCTCATATCAGTGAGATTGTATGATTGCTTCTTTAAATAACACAAGCTTCAGTGGGTATTCAGAATCAGAACTGATTCTACTAGACATAAATATTCCTAAATAAGTAAAAGCTTCCTTTTGATTCCTATGTCCTTGGGGAAAGGAAACTACATGGCTAAACTTAATAAAATAATTGGCTTATTAACTTAGAGAGTGGGTCTGGATTATTAGGGAAAATTTTAGATTTGTCAGATTTGTTACCAAGATTATTACCTAATTTACTTCCCACAGAAAGCACGTTGGACTTCTGAACTGATTTATATTTGTTTCATTAGCTTAACCTTATATGGATAGCCCCCAGATGGAAGGGGAAAACAGTCTATTTTCCATCTAAGGGCAAGAAGAGACTTCCTAAACCTTTTTTTTTGCTTAGAGTTGAGAATTTAAGCTCAGCCAGGGTGCTGATGTGTTTATTCTAAGGGTATTAAGCACAGACTTCTTTCTTTTTTTTTTTTTTTTTTTAAAGATTTTATTTATTTATTTGAGAGAGAGAGAATGAGAGAGAGAGAACACATGAGAGGGGATAGGGTCAGAGGACGAAGCAGACTCCCTGCCGAGCAGGGAGCCCGATGCGGGACTCGATCCAGGGACTCCAGGATCATGACCTGAGCCGAAGGCAGTCGCTTAACCAACTGAGCCACCCAGGCGCCCATTTTTTTTTTTTTTTTTTAAAGATTTTATTTATTTATTTGACAGAGAGAGAAACAGCAAGAGAGCGAACACAAGCAGGGGGAGTGGGAGAGGGAGAAGCAGGCTTCCCACTGAGCAGGGAGCCCAATGCAGGGCTCAATCCCAGGACCCTGGAATCACGACCTGAGCCGAAGGCAGACGCTTAACGACTGAGCCACCCAGGCGCCCCATGCACAGACTTCTTTCTAACACAATCTCTAGTAAAGTGTTTTAAAAGAGGGTCTGGTTAGATCTTAGCTTTAACTTCCCATACATACTGTGATTAGCCTCAGTTAGGGGGGAAAAAAAAAGCCTGAGGTTGATGTCAAGTCTATGTATTGAACATGGTAACCACAGGTTTGTCTAATATCTGTCCATTTCCCCTGGCTAAGCAAAAGTTTACTCTGAAGATGATTTTCTTTCAGAAAAAGCCAGTCTTAAATGGTAAAGACAGGAGAATGAGTTTTCCTGCTGTCAGATCCTGAGAGAAGTGATTCCTCTACAACAAGAGGAAGCTAGAGCTGGGAAGTTTTACCAAGCCTCAGGCAAACTACTCACTTATGTACCCATGTTTAGGTCTTACTCATCCAAGCGCAGACTCTGTATAAGAAGTTTGTGAAATCAACTGGCTTCCTGGGGAGTGAACAGTGGGCAGTGATTCACATTGTGGAGCAGCGAGTACGCTTTTACCCAGTGGCCTTCTCTTGCTGCTGGGGCCCAGGTGGGTATCTTAATGGGAAGAGCTGGGTAATGATGAGGACACCTATTGGGGTCTGATCAAGCAAAGTGGGCTCACCAAGAAGGATGACTGAAACTTGTAAAATTCCTGTCCAACCGTAAAATCTATGTTGGTCCCACTTTCTTCTTTTTATTCCTATGTTTTAGAAATTAAGGTAATTAGACATGAGATGCAGCCTAAGAGAGGAAACATCCTGATAGAGCTCAGAGATATTAACACCTGCCCTTTCTACTACAGAAAGTATAGTGAGGATCAGATTGGATAATGCTTATGAAAGAGCTTGGTAAATTCTGAAACACTAAGAAGTGTAATTTATCTCCCATAGTGTGTCTTACCATCATTGCTACTAATAACCTGCAAAGTTTAGTCAGTGAGGAATAGAAGTTGGAGACTGGAGGCCCAGTGGTTTATGTAACTGGTTAATCTCACTCCTAGTCTTCATTATGCTTATACCTTTATCTCTCATGGTGTGTAGGCATGTATACTGGGGAATTTTTTTTTAGGATTTTATTTATTTATCAGAGAGAGAGAGCAGGAGCAGGGGGAGCGGCAGGCAGAGGGAGAAGCAGGCTCCCCACTGAGCAGGGAGCCCGATGCGGGACTCGATCCCCGGATGCTGGGATCATGATCTGAGCTGAAGGCAGATGCTTAACCAACTGAGCCACCCAGGCGTCCCTATATTGGGGAATTTTATGCTCAGACAGGTAGGGCTGGCAAGAAGATTTATACTTTGTGTTTTCACAGCTGTCATTCTGATGATCATGAAGTTGACTAAGCCACAGGACATGAAACTTCACATGGTCCTCTGTGTTCTCCAGGTAACACCTTCAGCATCTGTTTTTATACCCTCTTATCCTGTTCTCTTACACTGACATTACTCAGTAAGCACAGTTTTTTCCCTTAGCATATTTATTTCTATGTTGCAAAGAGAAAATGTATTATTTATATTCAGTTATGAAGAATGTGAAGTTTTCCTCACAGATGAGGTAGATACTTTTGTGAAAGTGCTGCCATGCATCCCAGAGCATATGTATCTCTAGTTAACTTCATTTTATTGGTGTGTTTTTAAGGGATGGGTAGCAAAAAAACAAGATCGACCAAATAATGTTTTTATGAAACACTGATAGTGACATAATTCTCCCCCACCCAGAGTGAATTGAATGGGATAAATTAGCTATTCTAGGTAAATGGGGAGAGAGGAATACAGAAATAGAACAATTCTCTTTTTTCCTCTTTAATCAGACTTATGAAGCCTTTTTTGAGTTATCTGACTATACTGATAGGGCATTTTTCTCAAGCTTGACCTGGGAAATGGAAGTAATAAGGAAGGGCATTGAAATGAGTTCATTTTCCTTATGTATATGCCAAGAAGTATGACCAACTTTCAGTCATCCATAACAAGGTACAGTGTAAAGAGTGAGTTCAGAAAGAGCTAGAAAGGGAAGAAATCAGAGAGGGAGACAAACCATGAGAGACTCAGGACTCCAGTAAACAAACTGAGGGTTACAGAGGGTAGGGGGTGGGGGGATGGAGTAACCGGGTGAAAGGTATTAAGGGCACGTGTTGTGATGAGAACTGGGTGTTATATGCAACTAATGAATCGTTGAACACTATATCAGAAACTAATGATGTACTATATGTTGGCTAATTGAACATAATAAAAAAGAGCTAGAAAAATATAAAAAACTGACACCAGATATTGCTGTTTGAGATAAAACAAATATAACAATGAGTATAAATAAGGGGAATGGGGACAATTCCCTGGATCTCTGAAAACCTGAAGGATGGGTTCCATCACTTCATCTCCTCCAGGCTCTAACAGCATCATCCCAGGGTCTGCTCAACTGTGGAGTATATAGCTGGACACAATACAAGTTCTACCAACTAAAGCAACAGGCTCGGCGTGATGCAGACACCCAAACACCATTATTATGTTCACAGAAGAGATTCTATAGCAGGGGCCTAGATACAGTGGAGTCTACCCTTGGTTTTGCTACCAGCCCTCCACCATTCTTTGAAACTGTAATACTGGAACATCCAGGAACCAGAATTATTCCACACTAATGGATTGAGAAGAGTGTTGGGAAACATCTCAAGTCTTTTCCAACCATGCCTTAAACTATGGAAGTGAAAGAGGATGTAGTGCTGTGGTTAGTAGGTTTTCTTGTTGAATTGGGCAGGATCTCTGTTATTCTCAGATTCACTAGTAATTCTTCAAGTCTTTGTTCAGAGAGGTGAAGCCACTTTCCTTCTAAGAGATAGACTCCTATCACCTCAGTGAATACTAGATTTGTTTAAATCTCTTCTAGATAAGTTCCAGGTTATTATTTATATGTGCCATTTCCAGGCTCTCTACTCCATGGTCGTGGGGGAAGTAGGGTGGCATGCAGCAGCTTGCTCAGATTTTGCTAGTATTGTTATTCTCTCTGTGGTTGGACAAAGAAAGTCCTGGGTTTCTGTTCTTTGAAGAGTTTTTGAAACTTAAAAGAAGCAAGGACAGTAACTATCAAAAAACTGACGGTGGGATCCTCAGGCACATCCTACTCTCTTATTTGTTCAGTGCTGTTCCAAGTCTTAACAGTAGGAACCATCTGCTCTAGGAAATTAAGGCCAATCTTATGGAGTTAGAGGGGATAATAAGATTTAAGAGAAATCAGGATTAAAAGAAATTTTAGGTATCAAAAACTCTCAACTCCCATTTATAAGCAAAAGTCCAAAAGTAGGTTTCATAGTGCCTGGACATAGAATTAGGTTGAACCATATGAACTTACCATTTTTGTAGGTGAAAATGGCATATCATCAATTTTACATGGTTTAACCTAATGGTAAGCGTTTAATGTATGTTTATAGAATAAATGAATGAATAAGTGAATGAATGGCTAGAAAGAACCTTTTGGTAAAGAAAAGATTCCCAGACTGCAGAGCCTCATTCACTAGTATGAATGTCTAATCCATTTCTTCTTCCCCCTCCCCTTTCCCTCCTCCTCCTCCTCTTCTTCTTCTAAAAGATTTAATTTATTTATTTGAGAGAGAGTGCAAGCAGGGGGTGGAGCAGAGGGAGAGGGACAAGCAGACTCTATGCTGAGCATAGAGCCCGATACAGGGCTCAATCCCAGGACCCTGATGATATTATGACCTGAGCTGAAACCAAGAGTCGGACACTTAACTGACTGAGCCACCCAGGCACCTCTTCTTTAATCACACAACAAGTGATGTTTGGTCTCTTTAGTTAAGTTATGAACAAAGTCAATCTGAGGCCAGGGCATTAGATACTATGATGCCAAAACAAAGAGGAAAAGCCAAATGGACAAAGTGGCTGGAATGACAATCAACTAAAACATCTGGAACTAGTAATGAGATGCTTCTCACCTGATATACTCCCTTGGTCTGTACAAGGAAAAATCCTTAAGATTAGAGAAAATTGACAGAGTAAATTACAATGGTGAATTAGATAGGATACTCTGAAACATAAGTTTCCAGAGATCATTCCGAAGGAACTCTCTGTAGAAATGTTAGGGAGCTCGGTTAACAGCTCTTTAGGTTTGAGGCCATGAGCTTCACCTTACTGTGGAGGGTGACCTGGGCTTGTTATGTCAAAAACACATCTTGAGGCCTGTCATTGTCCTATAGCTCTAAAACCTGATCTGGATAGCATAGAACAAGAAAGATTGCTTCACATACGGAGCTGCTTTAAGTTCTTTTAATTTAAAAATGAATAGTCAACATTTGGAGAGACAGATGAAAAAAAAAAGAATTCCTATTTCTGTAGACCTTGAGGGACACCAGAAATACAGAGTCCA